AATTTGCACTTTGCTTATTTTCACTATTTTCAAATGTAAATAACTTTCTTGGAGAAAACTGAAAAATTACAAAACTTGGGCAATATCTAATTGATCACTAACTACACACACTGGAAAAAAATTCGCTTTGGTCCCGAAGATACTTTTTGAGATAATTATGTTTAAATTTTTCACAATTTTTATAAGGTTAATGCATGTAGTTTTTTAAGGACGAAGTTAGGTTTTATTGGTTAAATATTTTGAACTACACGGAAAAAATTAATTCAGTATATTTTACAAAACTGTGACGGAGTAGCGGATACAGCTCTTTACGAAACTGAGTTTTGTAAAATGTGATGGATATTTTCGGATAAACTACAGAACTTTCGTTGTTTATGCTGAATATTTCTGGAGTTTATCCTGAATATTTCGTGACATTTTACAACACTCACAATCAGTTTCGTAAAGAGCTGTATCCGCTACTCCGTGATAGTTCTGTAAAATCTACTGAATTCATTTTTTCCGTGTAACTTCAATTTTATAAAAATCACATGCATTAACCTGATAAAAATTGTGAAAAGTTTAAACTTAATTATCTCAAAAAGTATCTTCGGGACCAAAGCGAATTTTTTTCCAGTGTGTGTAGTTAGTGATCAATTAGATATTGCCCAAGTTTTGTAATTTTTCCGTTTTCTCCAAGAAAGTTATTTACATTTGAAAATAGTGAAAATAAGCAAAGTGCAAATTTTTATTGCTTTTTATTTCACATTTATGAAGAAAAAAGGAAAAAAGTGCTAAGAAAAACTAAAAGTTAGTCACAGGTACTTTATATTTGGTAAGGTTTTTTTCAATTTAATGACTTCTCTTTCTCACATTTAATAGATGAAATTTGCAAATTTAGGTTATTTGACAGTCGAACTTGAAAATCATATTTTATATATTATTTCACATATTTAAATAATTACATCAATTGATAATGATAAATTTATTCATTCTTAGTAAATTACAAAAAAAATTTTTTATTTTTATGGTAAATTCTACGTATTTTTGCATATTTTCTAATGGCTAAAAAATTGACAGTTTTCAGCACCTCATATACTTTAAATTCATATTTTGCAATAAATAATTAAAATTTTAATAAAATTCTTTTCATTTCGTGATTTTGATAACTTCAAAATCATTCCTGCAAAGTATTATAATTTTTAAAAATTAGTCAGCGACGACTTCATTCGAAATATAATGGATTGTCCCATATTTAATAAAAGAATTCTAATAAATTATAAAAATATGTGAATCGATCAATTTTTCCGAGTTAAATCAATTCAACACTGAAAAAAAAAAATTTATTTGATTGAAATAATCGGTCACTTGACTATTATCAAATGAATATTTATCTGTATTCAATAATTATTATTTGAGTCAATTAAATAGTATTTGTTTCAAATTTGTTTAATTAAAAAATAAATTATTTGGTTCAAGTAAATATTTATTTGATAATAGTCAAGTAACGGATTATTAGAATCAAATAAATTTTTTTTTAGTGTAATAATAAATGTTCTCAGAATCTTTAAAATATATATTTTTTTTTAATTTTTTAATATTCCAAAGAAATTTTTTTATATTTGATAAATTTAAAGAAATAAAATTAATTTAAATCAATTTTGGAAAATCTAAATATATACGAATTTCAGAAAAAATTATGTTGAGTCAAAATCATCAAAAATTATGAACAATTCAAATTGTTTTTAATAAATAATTTTTTAACAACATTATTATTTATTTTGTTCTAAGCTGTAAGAAAAAAAATTATTATTTGATGAAATAAAGTCGTCAGATTAATAGTCGACTTATAAGATATAAATTTGATTCTGATTTGTCCTTTCGTTCTGTTATGAAAAATCTCGCGAGGCATTGAGAATATATAATTAGATTTTCCAAAATTAATTGAAATTAATTTTTTCTAATATTTTTGTTTGCGTTAAAATCCATTTTTTATAGTTTCAAGTTATGTTGCGGTCACTATCCTCCTTAAATATTACACAGTAAAAAATAATCTTATTTTAAAGATTGAAATGAGTATATAATAAGAGAGTTTATATTAGTAAAGCAAAAATTTGTTTAAAGAAATCGATATGAAATTGACTCTTTTTTATATTTTTTACAATTGGGAGTTTCAATTCTTCAAAAAAAAATTCTACAATTATTTTAAATTCCAAATCGAAAAATATTTTTAATTCCAATTCCAACAAAAAAAATGCACTAATAAAAAACGTATATCCAATAGATTTAATCAATAATTTAAGAAGCTATAATAATATAAAAATATTATAAAAAATAATAATAATAAAATATTAAAAAATAATAAAATTATCATTTCGTTAAAAAAAATAATTTCGTTTTATTTGTATAGTAAAATGAATAAAATATGAATATATAAACAGATTTTGTAGATTGATAAATAAAATTTGTAAAGAGATGTGAAAATATAAATGGTTATACATCAATAATAATATTCTGTTATATATCATATCGGTGTGGACCGAGTCAGAATTCCATTAAAGTTTGATTATATCATCTTTGCGGAGTAAATTCTTTGTGAAAGAAGTGACGATTTTTGATTATATACACGAATCGACAGACCCAAACGTGTTATCGACAGAGGAAAATTAAACTACTAGCTGCGCCAAAGCCGAATGACCTCGAACTCGATAGCAACCTGAATAAATCAGATGTCCAGTGTGAAAATCCACACGAGACCGAGAAAGATATTGTCACGAGGTGACGACCAAGTGAACAATAAATGTATTTGAATCAGAGCCAAATTAGTATTTCATTTGTATTCATTTGTCCACACAGAGATTCATGAAAACACATGAAAGACAAAATGTAATTCGCCTTGTTTATATAGCGCGAACTTGTCATTTATATGTGACAGTCCCCGAGAGAAGGGACCTTAGCTCACCAGAGGTCAATATTGAGTTTTATATGGTAAATGATAGATTTTGAATTGCTTTTTCACATGCAAAAGTCAAAAACTGATTAGGATAATTGCTTTTGACACAATAACATTTTGAAGATGGGTATGTCAAGCGCATTTCGAGGCGGATTGTGGCACTCAAGAAATCAGCCCCACTACTTTACTTACACAACTATACTCTCGTACGTGAGCTTCGCGTACGTGAGACCCGAAGATACACGAAGTAGACGAAGCTCACGTATACAGAAACACAACGTTGTGTTAGTGTGGTGGGGGGACTTTTCAGAAGTTCCGCCCTACTCTTCGAGTTCAGCGTTTCTGCTTCTTCTTCAAACGCTTGCCCTGTGAAATTCGTTTTGGTGAGCTAAGGTCCCTTCTCTCGGGGACTGTCACATATATTCTCATTTTTAAATTATTGATTTCTGTTTCACGTGAAAAAGTATAAAAACAAACATTGAAAAAAATCCATTTTTGTACGACTACGAAATAAAATGCTTGCAGCAACCTTGCGGCAATATTGCCAATCTTGCCGCAAGCTTAAAATTTTCCATCTGACCCAAGTTTGCATGGTAAGTTTACCGAAAGATTGCAGTGTAAGGTTACTGCAAGATTGCACAATAATATTATCGCAAGATTGCTCAATAAGCTTGCACGGTAAGCTTGTAGCAAGGTTAGTGCATGGTTGCCAAATAACTTTGCTTTGAACCTACAAATTTTTTTTTTTAATGTTTTGTCTAATTTATATAATAAAATTATAGAAATTAGACGAAACATTTTTAAAAAAAATTTTTAGGTTCAAAGCAAAGTTATTTGCAACCTTGCTACAAGCTTACCGTGACAGCTTACTGAGCAATCTTACGATAATCTTATTGTGCAATCTTGCAGTAACCTTACACTGAAATCTCTCGGTAAGCTCCCCCACAGCACCGAAAGTTTCGGTGCTGTGAGGCTTACCATGCAAGCTTGGGTTAGGTGGGATATTTGAAGCTTGCGGCAAGTTTGCCGTGCAAGGTTGGCAATATTTGCGCAGCAAGATTGCTGCAAGCTTATGTGCTATCTGGGCATGTGTACGCGATATTGCCGATTACTGAAACTTTGCACCGGAAAAAATGAAAACATAACCTCAATCATAGATAAAGAATTGTTTAAGAATTGTGGTGAACCAACAATTGTTGAACACTTCTTCACCTATGATTGAGGTTATGTTTTGATATTATTCCGGTGCAAAACTTCAGTAATTGTCAATACCGCGTTCACAGGCCATCACTACAATAAAAAAAACTCCTGAAATGGCATATAATAATTATTGACAAAAAAATTAAATTCAATTTTTTGTCAATTCTAATAGAAAAAAAGTACGCTGATTACGAATCCAATGTGAATTAAAAATTTTCAAAATTCAAGATAGTAGACTATTTTTTTTAATTTATTAGCACAGGTGGCTGGAAGGAAAAAGAAGTTTACCTACGATGCCCCTGCTGCTCAATGGTATCAGGTGATTCCATAGTATCCCCTAAGTATTTACAAATAAATAAAGTGAACTCAAAAAATATTTGCCACATTTATAATAAATATAATAAGATATACGGTTAAGGAAAAAATATATATTTAACACAATGAAATACCAATTATACCATTTTTTGTTATGGTCACAGAATTTTTAAATGTGCTTAGAAGAAAAGTCCACTACATGTAGTGACCATTCTGTGACCATAACAAAAAATGGTATAATTGGTATTTCATTGTGTTAAATATATATTTTTTCCTTAACCGTATATCTTATTATATTTATTATAAATGTGGCAAATATTTTTTGAGTTCACTTTATTTATTTGTAAATACTTAGGGGATACTATGGAATCACCTGATACCATTGAGCAGCAGGGGCATCGTAGGTAAACTTTTTTTTTCTTCCAGCCACCTGTGTTAGTTTTATTTAAAAATCGTTATTCGAAGGATGTTTGATGTGGTTAATTATATAAAAATCCAATATAATTTTTTGAAAATGAAAAATAATCGAAATTCAATGTGATTTATTGTATAGGCGAGGACACGATGCCGAATAATCAAAGAAAGATTGAACCAAGAGTGGAGACACTGTTGGTGGTGATGTTCCTGATAACGGTTGGCCTTGACCTTGCAAGGTGTTCGCCACCTCACAGAAGTAGACACCATGCGGATTTGTCGCACGAGGAACCGAAGAATATGAGATCGATAGAGGTCAACGAGGAGTTACCGCGAGCTGAGCCGCTTGGCTCGATCCCGGAGGACGATCATCTGATCGTTCAAACACGAACGGGTCGGGTGAAGGGTATGACCTTGACTGCTACAACTGGCAAAAAGGTCGATGCTTGGTTCGGCATCCCTTATGCACAAAAACCCATTGGTAAGTTTTTGTCTTATATATATATATAGGTATATATTTTACGTGTACACTCAGAGAAAAGATTTCTTTGATTTAAAGAAACCAGTTTCTTTAAATTGTTTTCTTTGATTCAAAATAAAATTTTCTTTGAAACAAAAAAAAGCTTCTTAGTTTCAAAGAAAATTTCTTTGATTCAAAAATCATTTTCTTTGAATAAAAGAAATTAGTGCATTAAATCGAAAAAATTATATGACCCATAATATTATACAATATATTTATAATTCCAGAAAAATACAAAAACTTATTTTTTAATCAAATAAACTTACTTTAACACATTTGTATAAAAAACTGTGAAGCTCCAAAATTGAAGTTACAGATCAAAGAACAATTTATAATTTTTTTTAAACTAGAAATCATTGGCCTGTAAATTTAAAATTATTACTATTAAAGTTTTGAAATTCATTTTTCTGGCAGGTATTTTTGTATATTTTTTATGAAAATTTTTACCTAAAGAAAACAAAACTTCAAAACATTTTTTTTTTATTCAGGATGCTGAAGATTTCGAGTTTTAAAAAGTTATAACCAGTTTTTTTTATCTGAAGACCCTCAATTTTCTTTTTAACAGAAAACTTACATAAATTAATTTTATTAAAATTTCTTAATTTTAAGAAATAGGTATAGAAAATTTGGATTTTTATTAAAAAAAAAAAAAATTTGATCCAATTTTTATGTATTTTATGTTAATAAATAAATTAATATATGATAATTTATTATTTTTAAGGTTCATTAAGGTTTCGACATCCAAGGCCAGCAGAATCTTGGCAAGGAGTTCTTAACGCGACTTCACTGCCGAACAGTTGTGTTCAAATTCTAGACACCGTCTTTGGGGATTTCGCCGGAGCAACAATGTGGAATCCTAATACAGCACTTAGTGAGGATTGTCTTTATGTAAATGTAGTAGTTCCGCGACCCAGGCCTACTAATGCCGCTGTCATGGTATGGATATTCGGTGGTGAGTTTCTTTAATAACTTTATTAACAATTCTATTAAATTTTAAAATTTTATTATTTATTCTAGAAACTTTAATTTTTGCATTTATTAATGATCGATTTCACGTCAAAAATTCGGTTAAAAACAATTTATTTTTTCGTTCTTTACAGAAAAGTTTTTTTTTTTTTATATATAAGTGCCCAAATTTTTGAGTTATAAATTTATGAAACTTTGATTTTTTCAATGATCCGAAAGCAAAAAAAAAATTAATTTGTTTATAAAAAATTGTTATTTTTCTTTAATAAAAATTGACAATTTTCTTTTCGTTAATATTATTTCAAAGTTCAAAAGTCAATCCATTATTATATCATTTAAAGTCGTTCTGACCTATTTTTAGAACCTTATAATTCGTAATAATCATTTTTCAAATCCGAATAATTAATTTTTGACAATTATTTAATAAAATTTTATATACCTATTTACATTGGAATTTTAATTTTAAATATAAGTTGCATGAAAAAAAAAAAGATTTATTTTCCAGCTGTAAAGATTTAATAAAAAAGCAAAGAAATAATATTGGTTATTAATTTCTTCATTGATAATTGTTCAAAATAGTCTAATTTATATATAATAATCTATTATTGTAATGTATAAAAAAGATGATAATATTCGATGAAAATTAATTTTTAAACAAAAATTTCCAAAATTTATAACTCGTTAATTCTTATAAAAACTTATAAAAAAAACATACGTATATTTTTTTTCTGTAAAGAACGAAAAAATGTGTTTAACCGAATTAAAAAGGTCGACTATAAATTTGATGAGGAATCACCCATTTATAATAATTTATAAAAAAATTAATTCTGAGTGTTCTTGTCAGGAATTCAAAAAACATTGCAATAATCAAATAAAGGAATATTCAATTTTAAAAAGTCAAGATGAAAATTCCCCCAAAAAAAAATTTTTTATTTAGAATTGTTTTGTTAGAAAAATTAATTTTTTTTGTATTAGTATAGGTACACTATAAATATGTAGATACAATGTGGTTTAAAATCCTTTAGTAATGTGAAGTTATTGCGAAACAGAAAGATATAAAAAAAAGTAAATTGTTCAGTGTTGGAAGGTGGTTGTTGGATCACCATAGATTACTTTCAGGTGGTTTCTACTCCGGGTCGGCAACCCTGGACGTCTATGATCATAGGACCCTTGTATCTGAGGAAAACATTATCTTAGTGTCAATGCAGTATCGAGTCGCTAGTCTCGGTTTTCTTTACTTTGGGACCTACGACGTGCCGGGCAATGCCGGCCTGTTCGATCAACTTATGGCACTTCAATGGGTACATGACAATATTGCATTTTTTGGAGGAAATCCAGACAACGTCACACTCTTTGGTGAAAGTGCCGGTGCTGTTTCTGTGTCAATGCACTTACTATCACCTTTATCTAGGTAAATCAATCCATACAATAAACCCCTTTTATAATTTATTATTAAAACACGTCATAAATGAGCAAAAAAAAAATGCAATACATTCTTTTTATAAAGTAATATACTTATATGATAAGAGTATATAATGATTTTAAGATAAAATTTATCTTATTTTATATAAAAAAATAAATTTTAAATATCAGTTATAATTTGTAGATGTACTGAAAATATCAATTTTTTTTATTAATTATATAATAATAAAATGCTTGGTCTGTCCTTCTGTCCTAACTTAAAATTGGTATTTTCTGATTTCACGTGTTTTTTAAATTGTAATTTTATGACGTGTCAAATTTTGACAATTCTTTTTCTCGTTTTTGCCAAAATTGTATAATTGTGTTTCGAAATTTCGGAATTAGTTCAATTCCATTCACGAAGCTGAAGTACACAACGTTTATCAACGAAATTTTTATTTAAAGTTATATATTGACCCTAAATTAGATATATTTATTGTAGGCGGAATATTTAAAGCATTTTTTAGATAAATATTCCCCCTATGTTAAATATGAGCCGCAGGATATTATAATTAAAATTTATACAGCGGTATTCGTTAGACCCTGGTACCTTAAAGATCAATTTTTAAAAATAAATTTTTAAAAATTACTATATATCTTGTAGGAAATTTTCTGGCGCATCTTTATTCTCATCATAAATTTTTTTTTTTTTTGTAACAGTTTTTGAGAATAAAGCAAAAATCTAAATTTTTCATAAAATCACTTTTAATTAAAATTTTTATTAACCTTAATAATAATTTTTCATTTTTTAATTAGAAAAAAAGTTATTAATTCCTCTGAATAAAATGTTTATTGATACACAATAAAGATTACTGTAAAGTTTTATTTTAATACATTTTTTTTTTTATTATCAATGAACATTTTATTCAAAGGAAGTTTATCCTCAGAGAAAATTCACTAGATAAACGAAGCTTTTGAATAATATTATAAGCCTTGCAGCACTGAACAACAAAAGATTAATAATTTTTTTAAAATTAAAAATGAATTATTATTAGGGATCATTCAAAGGATAGTTTAAACTATAAATCTTGTAAATTGTATGTAAAAGTATTCAGAACTTTACATTTTATAACGAATGAAAATGAAAATTTTAATTAAAAGTGATGTTTAGAAAAATTTAGTTTTTTGAATTTTTTTGTTACAAATACAAAAAAATTTATGAACAGAAAAAAGATGCGCCAGGAAATTTCGTACAAGATAGTAATTTAAAAAAAAAAAATGTTTTTGTTGATAAATGTTGCGTACTTCAGCTTCGTTTCAATTCTATTAAATATTAATTATATAAAAACATATAATTTTCATTATTATCATTTAATATGTAATAATTTTCTAATAAATTTAAATTATTATTAATAATATTAATTTTAATTTTTTTATAACAAACAATTACATACTCAATTTGGCGCGCTTGCGCGCGTTTAACTTTGCTAGTTTTAAATATTTCTTTTTAATATAATTTAGAAACCTATTAAATACAAGTTAAAACCACTCATCTAAAGTTCAAAATAATAATAATAATAATATTAATAAATATTATAATATTAAAAATAAATTTAAATTTTTTGAACTCATGAATATTTTTTCAAACTCTTTAGATATGTAGTTCAAATTTCCAGTGAATCGAATTTATATTTAAAGAAAATTTATAAAGTCAAATTAATATTAAACTGGGATTTTCAAGTTGTAGAATTTTTATTCAAACAAAGTTTTATTTGACAGAATTTCTTGTTAACAGAATTTTTAATGGCAAATTTAAAATTTAATTTCAGTTACACTCATTGAATTTTCATTTAACAAAATTTGTTTTCAATCAAATTTAATATTAATCAAAAATTTTATTTAACTGAATTTTTAATTAACAAAATTTTAAAATTTGAACAAATTAAAATTCGCTATGAAATAGAAATTCTATCTATCTTTAAAGTACCCACGTTTAAATGTGCTTAACAATTTTTGGTCCTTGGTATTCAAATTTAAAAAAAAAATTTAATATCAAATTCTAATGATAAGAATTAATTGTTAAAATTTTATATTGAACAATTTCAAAAATTTAACGGCAAGGTACAAATGTTGTATAACAAAAATTATTTAACAGAATTCCTATTGAATAAAATTTTTAAATGCCAGAATTTTCATTTCATTTTTTTCTAAAATTCTTAAAAATGCCAAATTGTGATCTTACAAATCTTTCTTTTGTCCGAATAAATATCAAGCAAAAATATTGCGGCTCTAATTTTAAAATTAATCAATTAAAAATTATTTAGAACAATTGGGTGTGATTAAATTTTAAATTTGCATCGATATCTTTCTGTCGTTTATTTATTCGCGAAGAAATAAAAGTTTTGTCATAAGTGAAAATTTAGTGTTTAAAGATTATACTATCAAATGATAATTCGTGTAAATAAAAATTCAAAATAATCAAATAATCATATAATTCAAAATTCAAACAAATAGATTTTTTAAAATCATGTTTATAAATTCTTACAAATTAAGAGTTTGAATTGATTGAACATCGAAGGTCAAACGTTTGATAAATTCGGAAATATGTTAAATTGCGAACGTGAAAATGATCACGTAGCCTTTTTTCTTTCTACGCAAAGTTTAAAATCGAATAAAACTCAAACAATAACCTTGAACTGAAAATGAACTGGTTTTTTTTTGGAAACTTTTTGTTTATAAATAAACTTAAAATGAGTTAAAGAAGTTGTATCATTTTTGCTACTTCTCAAAATGACTATTGTACGTGAATCATTTTGAGAACAAATTTTTTTTTGTATTTTAGGAAATAACTATGGATTTTCTGAGAATTATTATTGAATCTTTTTTTTTCTTCCATTAAATAAAAAATCGTTATAAACAAATTTTTAATTTAAAAATTGACATTTTCATGAATTAATAAATATTTTATAATGTACGTTAATTGAGACAATGCAAAATTCCGTTAGTTGTCCAAACAAAATATTGTTCAATTGCATCTTTAATGCAATCGGAGTTTATTTTTAATAAAATCGAACTTTATTTTGATTAAATTTTATATTTTTCTTGATTTTTTAATTATACATAGCTTCCATTTTATTTTATTTTAATAGTAAAATATAACTTATTTTTTTAATTAAAGAATTTTAATAAATATAATTCAGATAAGGGTCCAGATCGAAGAACTTGTTATAACTTTTTATAACTCAAAATCGATGACCTCTGAAACAAAAAAAAAGTTTCGAATTTTATAGTTTTCTGTAAAGAATAAGTGAAAATACCTGCCAGAAAAATGATATTCAAAACTTTGTGATTTTTAATTAACGAGTCAAAAAATTTATTTAAAAAAAAAAATTACATATTTGGGAAAACGTTTAAAATAGAATTACTGACGCATGTTGAATTTTCATCAAATATGTATTTTTTGACAAAATATTAGGGCCAGTCCACTGACTTTCGTCTAATAGTGGTTGCGATCAAATTTTTAAAAAATCTAGTTTTAATATATGTAAAACTCGATGATTTCCTGAGTTCATTAACCATAATATTATGGTAAAAATTTTATTTTCTTTAAAAATATTAAATATCAAAAGTAGGAGGTTCACAATGTGATTTTGTAACCTTAAATTTTTCAATTTTTTTAAAAACGCTATTATTAAAAAACTATTAAAAATTAGATGTTGGAACTCACGAAAAACATAAATCACTTTATTCTGCACAGAGGAACAAAAGAATTATTGCAAAAATTTATTATTTTTGGATGATATACGATTTTAAAAAAAATTTTATTTAAATATTCTCAAGATTTGAGAGATTTGAGATTTCTTACGAAGGTGTTTTGCCTCGTTTTGGAGATATTAATTTTCAAAATTTTTTATTTAAAAAGGTTAATTAAAAGACTTGAAGTTAACTGACCAATTTCAAATCGCTACATTTTATTATATTTTTATAAAAAATGGAGCAGTTTGAATTTGGTTAGTTAACTTCAAGTCTTTTAATTAACCTTTTTAAATAAAAAATTTTGAAAATTAATATCTCCAAAACGAGGCAAAACACCTTCGTAAGATTTTAATAGAAGGTAAAGAATATTATAAAAAATCTTTGTACAAAACCTCAATTTTTTCGGGGCACCGACAAAAAAGTTATAAGTAAATAAAAATCTTGAGAATATTTAAATAAAATTTTTTTTAAAATCGTATATCATCCAAAAATAATAAATTTATGCAATAATTCTTTCGTTCCTCTGTGCAGAATAAAGTGATTTATGTTTTTGGTGAGTTCCAACATCTAATTTTTAATAGTTTTTTAATATGAGCGTTTTTAAAAAAATTGAAAAATTTAAGGTTACAAAATCACATTGTGAACCTCCTACTTTTGATATTTAATATTTTTAAAGGGAATAAAATTTTTACCATAATAGTGTGCACTTTTAAAATTATATAAAATATATGTACAATTGATTAATCTGCAGCATACTGCCTTTAAACAATTAAAACTCACGACATATGAATTACGTTCACGATTACGACCGGTTACATCGCCCAAGCGAATCTTTCTGAAAACTCTACTCCTAATTTTCTCATTCGATTCCCTCGCTTTTCATTTCGTTTCGCTCGCTTTTCACTGACTTGCGCATAATTAAATAGGAAACACGATTTTCTGTTTCAATAAAAATAAAATTTCTAACAAATTACATAATGTTAAAATTGCAATGAGTACATTTTTATTTATGTACTTTTTAATTATAAACTGCAACATTTGCAATGAAATACAAAGAGCATTTATAGTCAACAAATAATTAATAATAAAGTAAAAAATGATTATCAGCATATTTTTATGTTAAGATTTTGAATTGTTAAAGTTATACAAATTTTGAAACAAATTTTCTGCAAAAATTAGAAAATTTATAGTGCGATAGTTTTGCATGAATATATATATATATATTTAATTTTGTGTGTGTATGTAAAAATTTGTATGTCCAGGCAATTATTCAGTCAGGCAATAATGCAGTCGGGTTCGCCAACCGCTCCATGGGCGATAATATCCCGTGAGGAGTCGAAAATCCGAGGTATCCGATTAGCGGAAGCAGTTGGTTGTCCGCATGATGAAAATGCACTTCAAGAAGCTATTGATTGTCTCCTCTTAAAAGATCCAGTTGAATTGGTCAATAGTGAATGGGGCACTTTAGGTATTTGTGAATTTCCCTTTGTTCCTGTAATTGATGGTTCCTTTCTCGATGAAACACCACAACGTTCCTTATTAACGGAATCATTTAAGAAGGCTAATATTTTAATGGGCTCAAATACCGAAGAAGGATTCTACTTTATTATTTATTATTTAACGGAATTATTTCGCATTGATGGCACTGAAGATGTGAAAGTATCCAGGGACGAATTCATTAAAGCAGTCACGGAATTAAATCCCTATGTTAATCAAATTGCACGTACCGCCATTGTTTATGAGTATACAAATTGGGTTAATCCCGATGATCCTGATGACAATCGGAATGCTCTAGATAAAATTGTTGGCGATTATCAGTTTACGTGTAATGTTAACGAATTCGCTGGCAGATACGCTGAAACGGGCAACACTGTTTATATGTATTATTACAAGCACAGGTGAGAAATTTTTTAATTCTTTTGTTGAAAATAGTCTTAATTTTGAGAGAAACTAGTGCGATTCCAGGTGAGATTTTGACTTTTTCGGAGTAGGTTAACCGATTGCAATGAAACTTTGGAATTTTGTTATATATAGTAAGACTAATCTTTAACGTAAATTGCAGCTTAAAATATTTGTTAGTTTACGAGATTTGCAATAATAACAAAAAATTTTAAACTGCTATATCTTCCGTTCTAATAATCGGATTAAGGTCTACTTTTTTTTAAAATGTCAAGGAAAATGAAAGGAATAAATCTCTTTCAAAACAATTTTTTATAATTTTACAACTAAAAAAATTATTAAATAATAATTGAATAAATTTCACGCGACAATCTAAAATTCAATCACTTAAACGCTAAAATGATCTTACCTGTGTTTTCTTTAATGTTCCAAAGGAATCCAATTGTAAATGCAAGTTTAACTTTGTTAATTTTAATAATTTACGAGTATAAACAATTGCGATTTCTGCTAGTTGACGTGCAGACGACATTGCGCACGCAGCATTCTCACGTAGCCAATTTAGTCCACGAATCACGTTAGCTGGTTACAGGAGAATGCTGCGTGCGCAATGTCGTCTGCACGTCAACTAGCAGAAATCGCAATTGTTTATACTCGTAAATTATAAAAAATAAACAAAGTTAAACTTGCATTTACAATTGGATTCCTTTGGAACATTAAAGAAAACACAGGTAAGATCATTTTAGCGTTTAAGTGATTGAATTTTAGATTGTCGCGTGAAATTTATTCAATTATTATTTAATAATTTTTTTAGTTGTAAAATTATAAAAAATTGTTCTGAAAGAGATTTATTCCTCTCATTTTCCTTGACATTTTAAAAAAAAGTAGACCTCAATCCGATTATTAGAACGGAAGATATAGCAGTTTAAAATTTTTTGTTATTATTGCAAATCTCGTAAACTAACAAATATTTTAAGCTGAAATTTACATTAAAGATTAGTCTTACTAAATATAACAAAATTCCAAAGTTTCATTGCAGTCGGTTAACCTACTCCGAAAAAGTCAAAATCTCACCTGGAATCGCACACTATTTTTATTTGTATTATTTTATTCGATTTCGTGAAATATTTCAATAATATATGAGGCATTTCATTTGAAAACGATCAGTCATGACTTAGATTTTTTTCATATTTTGTTTTTTTTGTATTATTTGGGGACTTAAATAAGTGTGCAAAATTTTAATTAAAAATCTTAAGTTTTTTTCAAGTTATTTACATTAACAAATTTAAGATACTTTTTTTTCTTTTCATTATAACTATTTCTTTTTTTGTACAGAAAAGTGTTTTAAATGTTTTTTCTTCAAAAATTATTGAATTTTAAGAAAATGATTTTTATTTTTTATAATTTTTACATTATTTATTTTAAAAAAAATAATTTTTTATTAATGTTTAAATCTGTTATCGGTCTAATTTCCATCTAAAAAAATCATGAATATTGTTCAATATTATACAAATTACATATTAAAATTTGGTGAATGCATTATTTAATTATTTATACTCCACCGCCCGCAGTCCTAGAAAGACCATAAATGGGCAACTACAAAAAAAATTTACATTTATTCTATAATATGTAAGTAATTATTTAAACATTTTATAAAATCACTTACCGAAGAGCAAAATAAATCAAGATTTGGTTGAATATTAATAAAAAAAATCATTTAAATGGTAACACGCAAAATAAATAGGAGAAATTTTACCAAATTCTCTATGCAAACATGGCAAAGCAAATGGCATTTCATTATGAGAGTTGATTCTAGGCACTCTTAATGGTAAACTATATAATATATCTGGAGCGTAGATTTGGGAAGACAAAATTTTAAAAATAAACAAACAAGCATAGAAAATTAAATAATTATTATACTTTTCAAATTGAGGAATAGCAATAAAAGAAGAAAATTCAATTTTCGATCTAATTATGTTTTGTTCTCGAGAAAAAAGTTTTTGATATTTACCGTGCACGGCTCTAGCATGAGATCTAACCCAAGCGCTGACCGATGTGACCGCTAGAGTTATGCACGGTAAATTATATAATATTGAACAATATTCATGATTTTTTTTTAGAACGAAATTAGCCCGATAACAGGTTTAAACATTAATAAAAAAATTTTTTTTTAAATAAGTAATGTAAAAATTATAAAATATTAAAAATAAAAATCATTTTCTTAAAATTCAATACTTTTTGAAGAAAAAACATTTAAAACACTTTTCTGTACAAAGAAAAATGAAATAGTTATAATGAAAAGATAAAAAATTATCTTAAATTTGTTAATGTAAATAACTTGAAAATAACTTAAGATTTTTAATTAAAATTTTTGCACACTTATTTAAGTCCCCAAACAATACAAAAAAACAAAATATTTAAAAAAATCTAAGTCATGACTGATCGTTTTCAAATGAAATGCCTCATATAATAAAAAAAATTCTTGAGACAAAAGATAATTTCTTGTTAGTATTTATGGTGGTTTTTTTTTGTCATGACAGAAAATTGATGTTGTTTGTAGAGTAATCAGTAATTATTTTGTAGATCGAAAAATAACCCTTGGCCAAGATGGACGGGTGTCATGCACGCTGATGAAATTAATTATATTTTTGGAGAGCCACTCGATCCCTCCAAAGAATACACCCAGGAAGAGAAACGCTTGTCACAGAGAATGATGAAGTACTGGGCAAACTTTGCGAAAACAGGGTAAGCACTAGATACTTATATTCGACGAATAATTGATTTATTAATTGTCCTCAAACTACTTTATTGTCCCAGATAGCACACTATATTATATTCCAATTGAACTTTTCTAGAATATTTCAGTGGAAAATTTGAATATTCCGCTGAAATTTTCTTGAAAGAATAAATATTTCTAAATTACTTGTTGAGAATATTTTTGATAATACTCATAAATATTCAAAGATTATTTCTAATCAATATTCTAAAAATCATTCCCCTTGAATACTTTTAAATTATTAATTAATTATTTTTATTATCCATTATAATATTCCAAAAACATTTTTATTTGAATTTTATATCAAAAATATTTGAAACAAATATTTTTTCTGTATAATTTTTAATTTAAATTGATATTTATACTATTAATGAATAAAATGATTATATTCATGAATGTTTATTTTAAAATTCGTGAAAATAGGAATTTTGTGAGATGCAAAATATTCAATAGACATCATGTTTATTCAATGTAAATTTTATCGCACACATGTGAAATATGCAGATGTTAGCTGTAAAACCCCGTTCGTCAATTGTGAAGAGTTACTTCAGTTTTCATGAATTCATCTACAAAGGAGTATTTTGTATACTCTGAAGAATGCTAGTTTGTGATTTTCATTTCATTGAAAATTTAATAAGAAAATTGAGAAGAAAATTATATATACTATATTAGCCATTAGCATTCGAATTATTAATTTTGTTGTAAAATTTATTAATTTTTAATTAAATAATTTTTTTAGTAAATAAAAAAATAAAATAAATTATGTAATAAATAATTATACAATTAAAGCAAACAAAATAGTAATTGAAAAAACGTATTTCAAAATGAAATTTACGGTAAAATCCCATTTTATATATGCTTTGAGTACCTAACTTTTAAATATTATTGTATTTAAAAAAAAATACGCATATTTTTTTTCAATTTGGAACAAATTTTGTAGATCAAAGCAAATATTTACCAATGTAATTTTTTAATTACAATATATATTTTTTTATAAATGTTAATTAAAGATTGTATATTTTATTTTTAAGAAATCCAAATGAGGGTGACAGTGCATCTTGGACTGATGTATTTTGGCCTCAACATACTGCTGCTAAAAAGGATTATTTAACACTCGATATCAACTCAACAGAAATTGGTTATGGTCCTAGAGCAAAACAGTGTGCTTTTTGGAAAAAATATATTCCCCAATTGGTCGCCACCACAGGTGAGTAAATTATTAATTTATAATGTTAACATTTTAATTTTAACTAGTAAATTCTATATATCATCTATTTATATTTATATATAATATATTTCTCTCAGAGCTAAATAAATATTTGTTTTAAATTTCTCTGGGTTTAGAAATTACGAATATATTGCATTAAATATAATTATCTTAAAATAAGTACGAATATTGATATATTCGTAATTTTAGAATATATTTTTTATTACGATGTACAGGTGTTCGCGTTTATATTTTTGAATTTTGAATCTAAAGAATTAAAAAAAAAAAGTATATATATATATGAACAAAAATATTATATATTTTTGAAAACCTTGACCTTTCACATCAGTAACCTTAATTGAGAGTAGACGCTCCGTACTCCACCCACTTCTGAATTGTCTCAAATGACACCTGTTGAATTGAAAGTGCACTTTATTACATATAGATTCCATAAAAAACAATAAAAGCCTTGTTCTTTTGATTTTCGAATTGGACACTTTTTTTCCCCTATAATAAACGAATGTTAATCTTTTAATGGAAAATAATTTTTGAGAAACATAATTGAAACAAATATGAGAGCTTTCTTTCGGAAATAATTTCTTGTTTTTCATTTTTATTAATTTAAAATTATTTAAATTTATTAAATAAATTATTTATTTAAATTTTTAATAATAATATTTCGTCGAAATGTTAAAATAGAAAATAGTGTCTTCTTTTTTCCTCTTATAAATATTTCGTCATCTCTATAAAGGACTATTTTTACAGAGATCATTTTTTTTTAAAAAAAGGAAAAAAAAATAGTTTCCAGAGATTTATTTGAAAAATGTGTTTTTAATGTTTTATCGAAATGAAAACACGTTTGGGATATTAGGTGAAAAGCCGAGTACAAAGAATTTGGCACGAATTGACCAGTCAATTCTGATATAAAGAATAAGTCATAGCAGTAAATCGTAGCAGATTTGCACGAGGAAGGAAGAAACTTGTATACAGTAGAGAATACGTACCTCACTTTCTTTGTGAGGTTTTTTTTTTTCTTTCATATATATATTACGTACAAAGCCCTGAATTGTACACTCCGTACAATAAACACAATTTGAATCGACTTTTTTCGATATAAATGACACTGTACAAAAATCAATGTACCGAGTTAGTTTTGTACAAAAAAAAATCTGTACCAAGCCCAGGAACTCCAGCTCTGTACAAAAATGTCTGTTCACTCCGCGGAGTGTACAATTCCGGGCTCTGTACGTAACATATATGGGCAAATCCACAGAACCGGCCGATTTTTACTTATCAAGATGAAAATTTTCCAAATAGCAAGCACACCTTTTATTTATGGTTTACTTTCTTTAAAATATATTCAAGAACAATTATCTTCTTGCGTGATTCATTTTATTTTAATGCCGTTTGAGTTAAAAGCCAAAAACGAAAATATTATTTTTCTTCTGGAAATTATAATTAAAAATGGCATTTCTTTGTTTTTTTCTACATATTATTTGAAATATGTGCAAAACATTTTGAATAATAAAATACGATAAAATACAAATAATTAATTTTTTAATTATCAAAAATAAATTATTTATATTTTATCATATTTTATTATATATTTTATTTATTAGCATTTAATTTTTTATTTCTGTAAATTAAATTGTTTACTTACTAATTTTGATATTAACTATTTTAACCAACAAACTGACATTATTGACATCGATTTTGATATAACTTTGAAAATAAAACAAATGAAAGGATAATTCATTTTTCACGATTAACTAGTTAAATTTCGATAAATTTTTTTTATTTTTAATTTTTAGACGTTATAAATTGAAAATATAATTTGGCGTTTGCATACAAGAATTATAATAATGTCTTTATATAATCACACATGTTTTCAACTCATCATATTTTATCCTGTAGTTGTGCTACTGAAAAAAGGCTATGTTGAAAATGGTTCACGCTTAAACATAGAGTGATAATTTTTGGAATATTTTCTTTAATTCTGATTGCACTCTATTCTATGATACATACTCTTGTTCGTCTGTTCACAAGCAATAAGCTCCAATTTGAAAAATTCAAATCGAATAATCGCCGCAAAAGATATTTACAAAAATGTATAGACATTTCATTATTATAAAATAATGAGTAACGCTACTTTCAACGACTATCATTTCTTTTTATTTAAGAGCACATATTTTTTATTACTTTCAAAACATTCTTCAATAAGTAAACTATAATTCACCACAGTTTGGAATTGTTCGGATCTATGCCGAACAAGTTATACCTATAAGAATTAAAATTTATACCTGGAGTAACACCGTAAATTTCATTTTTTAAGTTACTTAATTCGATTTAATTTTTTATAAAAGACTAGAAGGTTCACATTTATTCAATTTTCTTATTTCAATAGGTTCTCAGAGATATTACAAAATGGTTGAAGTATGAAAATAATTAATATAATACTTCTAAAATAGAAAAATATATGAGTAACATGAAATCGGCCGGTTCTGTGGATTTGCCCATATATATATAAAATAGCATTCACTAGAAAAAGGCCGGATTGCCGAGATAAAGTAAAATAGATAGAGACAGGAAAAGAGAGACAAAAATAATGAGAAAAGAAAAAAGAGAAAGAAAGAAAGAAAAAAAGAGAGAACTTTCTTTATAGAAGAGAAAAGAGTCGCTGACTGACACAATAGATATTATTTTCTCGAGCGAGCGACGAATGCTGCTGGAATTTTTCGCTGCATTATCATTTTTATTCCAGCTCTTAGCTTTGCTTTCTCTCTACTGGGTGCCCAAAGAAATCTTTTTTTTCTCTCTCTCCCCTTTCTCTCCAACCCAAGCATCTCCAATGCCTTAGGCATACACTTTATACTTTATCCACCACCCCATTTTCTTCATCTTTACTGGCTGGGTGTCGTCTCTGTCTTATATATTCTACTTTTAAAATCCAACTTTCTCAAGGCGTGTGCCGCCTTTTCTTGTCCAACCAAGTTTAAACAGAAACTCGACCTTATCCACCTAAGTGCTTTTCCATCCTTTTAGATATTCCTTGTCAAAGGGAAAACAAAAAAAAAAAAAAAATTGACGTAATTTCCTTTAATGCAAAATGTGGATCTTCATTTCAACACTGTGTTTGAAATTCATAAATTTTTTTTTTTTTTTTTCAAAAGTGCGCTACTTTAATGTTTCTGAGATATACAATATTTTAAGAAATTCTTTATTTTTTTCTGAAAAATCCATAAAAAAAAAAATTAAAAAAATAATTGTGTACGTCTTAAATCGCTAGGTTAGAGTAAAAAAAGGAATTGTCGAAAATAAGTTTTTTTTAAAAAGAATTTAAGGTTGGTAATACTGCATATAATTAATAACATATAATTATTGTATTTAATAAATTTAAAAAAAAAATAATTTATATCTTCAAATCATTGATTTTTGATTTATAATCGTTAAACATTTTTTTAATTTATCAAATAAAATAATTAAATATATTTTTAAAAAAATGTAATTATTTTAAAAGATCAAAATATAAAATTTTATACGCAATATTGCCAATCTAGAATTCATTAAAAAAGAAATTTATTTTCAACGTGTTCTCTTTTTGAACGAAAATCCGATATGTCCTTATTTTTCTACTAATCCAGTGAAATGAATTTTACGAGAATTTGATGCGAAAAATTCAGATCTACAATAATTTAAATCAAATTGTCGTCGTTTAAATAAAAAATTTAAAAAATTGTTATTTATAAAACAAATAAATATATATAGTTATTTAGCTCTGAGACAAATATATAATTTTTTTAAATTCAAATATAAATTATTTTAATAAAAAATTTCTCTAGGGAAAAAAAGTTGAAATGAAAAAGGTTTAGATATCACGTTGACAAAATATAGTTTAGTAAAATTTTCACTTGAAATACTGCGATGGCTTATGTATTACAATAAGGAAATAATATATTATGAAAATTCAAAGTTTTTCATATATTAAAAGAAAAGAAAAGAAAAATTGCACGCGTGTTTCATTGTGGCACTTCATGCTTTAAATTTATATTTCATGCTCAAGATATACTGGCACACTTGTGTCTGACAGTCTCTTTGCAAGTGCCGTTATCACCTCAGGCCACTTTTTCCCGACAAATTTTTTTTTTCTACCTCCTTCACACAACTTTCGAGGGAAACGAGATTTTTCGTCTTCTCGTCTCAAGTCTCTCGGCGTGTCGAGTTAATTATTAACTTTTAGCAGCGTTTTCCATTCGAAAAATTGAAAATATATTAATTTAAAATTATGTATTACAATAATAAATTGTAATATATATATATATATATATATATATATATATATATATATATATATATATATATATATATATATATATATATATATATATATATAGACTATAGACTTCGCGCGCCAACCCCCCTGTTTTAATCATTTTTTTTAAATTTTCCATTGATCTTATTTTTCCAAATGAACCACCTATTTCAAAGAATTATTATTACAAATTCATTGAAATCTGAATAAATATTATTTAAATTAAAATTATTAAATTTTAATTAATAAATTAATTAAATTAATAATAAATAAATAATTAAATAAATTAAAATCGACATTAAGAAATTATTTTTAAAAATAATTTCAATGAAATTGCCTAAAAACCAATAAATTATTAAAAAGTCTTGAAACGAACATAACCTTTAAATTCAATTCATTTTTGGCGGAAACTCCACCTCCACTTGCGACTATATTGAAAGTCTTGAAATTTACATAACCTTAAAATTTATGACATTTTTGGCGGGAAATACAGAGAGAGATGAGGGAAGGGGGAAGGACTTACTGCTTTATTAGGGTCTTAAAACAAACATAACCTCAAAATTTAGGTCATTTCTGGCGGGGGAGGGGAGGGAACTTGCGGCTATATTCAGAGTCTTGAAACGAACATAACCTTAAAATTTAGGCCATTTTGGCGGAGGAGGGGAAATGAGAGGAGGGAGGGGGAATTGCG